CACCTTTCTTTCCTCCACGACCTTCACACTCTTCACAAACAACATTCTTCTCGATTGCCAGTTTCCTCGTGGAACCCTTGTACAGATCCTCTAAGGATATTGAGAGCTGATGTACAACGTCTTGACATTTCCGTTCACCCGGCCCTCTTCTGCCATCTCCAAAGAAGATGTTAAATATATCCATTGGGTTTGAGGAAAATCCTCCACCTCCACTTCCTCCCTTCAATGCTTCTTCGCCACCCCTGTCGTAGATGGCTCTCTTCTCTGGGGTTGACAATACTTCATAAGCCTGCGAAATTTGCTTGAACCGCTCACCTTCACTTGGGTTTTTGTCCGGATGGTATTTGAGAGCTAGTTTTCTGTATGCTTTCTTCAACTCATCTAAAGTACAGTCGGGTTTGACGCCAAGGATGTCATAATATCCTGTTTCTTTGACCATTTTATGAATCCAACTAGTCAATGTTGTAACGCTAAAGAAGATAAGCGAAAAAAAAACTGTTTAAAAACTCCAAGTTACTGTCTCAAACCGTCTAAAACTTCTAACAGTAATCGTTTGTAAAGTAACTGCAAATAAAAATGCCAATGAAAGTAATGATTTTTTATTGTTTAGGTATTTTGTAAAATCAGCTGTCTAGGTTTTACAGCAAGTTAGAATCCAATGTGTACACTGTCTACTACGTTTATGCATTGATTAAGTAATTACTAAACTATGTGGATTTATGCTAAATGGTCAAGTTTATCTTACTAATATTATAAATGTGAAAGTTTGTGTGTTTGTTTGTTTATTTGTTTGTTTGTTTGTTTGTTTGAAGTTCAATCACACATTAACTACTGGATTGATTGGGCTGAAATTTGGCATGATGATAGCTCACATTCCCGATTAACATATAGGCATATTCTTATCTCACAAATCCTTTCGGGCTCCGCCCCAGTGGCTCTGTAGTTAAATCGTTAAAATTTCTGCCAACCATTTCCCAACCGTGCCGACCATTTCCCAACGTTGGGCCAACGATGTGTGCTACTTGGGTAGTCTATTACAAAAGCCATTCTAAAATACTCTTCTAAAGTAGAAGAGTATTTTTGTTAGTATTTTTGCTTAGTATTTTTGTTCACCCCATGACGCAATGCAAATGAAGAGAACTCGTGTTAAATGTGACAAGACTATAGTTTAGTGTACCACTACGCACCTGACGATGGAGTCATCTCCGAAACGGCCGTAGTGGAATATTACTCCTGATTGCGTTGACGGTAAGAACTTAGATATTATTATTATCTTCTAAAGTAGTATGAAAAAGTAGTATGTTTTCTGTGTCTAAAGGCACTACGTAGTTAAAATTCATTGTAGTCGTTGTCCGAGCTTGAAGGCCTGAAGGCACGAGCCACTTTTTCCACCCTGAATGTCCTTATGGCATACAAACTAGAATTCAATCTATGCCTAAACCACCCAAACTACATTCTTGTAGCTGTGCTTTTGGAAATATTACTTCTAGTTCTAATGTATATATTATACTTTTACGCAATCTATCCGATAATGTCGGTCAAAAATAAAGAGACATCGAGTCCGGTATAAAGTATTTTAGTATCAATCAGCTTCATTAACGGTTCACACCCTTCCACCATTGGTTTACACCTGAAGCTGAAGAAGCGTCTAAATTATTATTTGGATTGCAGGATGGTCGAAATGAAAAATGTATCTCCAATTAACTTAGAGATTTCCTTATCCTGACTTATTATACATGTTTATATTTAAATATTCTTCAACTAATATGTTCCATTCCAGTCGAATGAACATTTTTTTAACTCACCATTGACTGTATTTTTATAGTATATCCAATTACGTGACTAAGGCTAGGGCCACACTTGGCGACTTTGTCACGGCGACTTTTTCCCCCGCGACTTTGTCGCGTCGACAAAGTCGCTGGGGGTGGCCACAATAGGCGACAATTTCGACCTTCCAGTTTAATTTTTTACCATACCAGTAAAAATAGAGTTTCGAGATGTTATATTGTATTTTCAAAATCGTGTCATTGATTATGGAAATAAATTAGGATCTATGACCTTTTTTGTATGTTTTTTGACCACCTTAGAATAAATCGATGTTTTTACTATTAATTGCAGTACCATAAGATTTAAGTGAATCTTCTACAAATTAAATCATATCGTTATAGTATTTTCATACGTGAACCGGCGCCTCTTTATATTTCGTACTAGGTCACACGTAATAGTTTTTAACCATTTGCCTGCAACAAAAGAAATACCATTTTTACTAAATTAATGTGTTAAAACTATGTTTTGAAAACCAATGTGGACGTCTAGTCGTCAAATCACAGTTTAATACTTGCTATTGCTATTTATTATATATCTAAATACCCCCGCCGCAACAAACCTGCAGACTAAGCGAATTTACATTTGTTTGGCTAGATTTCCCCTAAAATATTCACTTTAAACTTGTTGGATTTATTTCCTATTTAAATAAGATGAATTTAAATTAATGCTTAGGTTTACTGTGACAAATAAGGTAACCTAATGAGGCGTGCTTGTTAATTTAAATTTTGATGGCTTAGTATGAAATTAAAAATATTTATTAAAATATTGTTATAATTTATGAAAATATATCCATAAACAAGCAAACTAAAACAGTTTATTTTTAATCAAAATGGGCATTTTAAATTTACAATTGTTTAAATTATCTCCGTAATCATTAGGTTTATAACAACGCTTCAATTAACAAAATCATTTTTTTTAGCTCAACAAAACAGTTTGGAAGGAAATTGTGAAATTTATGTTTAAGGGTCAAAAATAGAAAAAAACAATTTGATACCCCATTAAAGCCCCTTAAACCTCCCATTCCCATGGTCCGATCATTTTGAAATGCGAGCACGCGTTTGAATTAACGTTGGGTTTTAACATTTGTACCCAATTCCACTAAAATCTCATCATTTTTGCTCAAGTTATCGCGCTAATTGGCACATAGACCTAAATTTATACACTGTATATGTAAATACATACATATGTACTTATATATACGTATATGAATTTGAACGGTGGGCGTTTTTGCATCTGGGGACCTCAAAATGAAAAATCAAATCGGTCCCGGGTTTATGTCTTACCATGCAACCTAAGGTAATAGCTTATTCCCTAAAGCGAAAACTCGAAAAAACACAGGTATGGAGTGAATAATTCCCTAAAACTATCATTAATGGATGGCGTATTTTAATTTTGTAAATTTTTAGTAATATTTTGGATGAACTTTGGCGAGCTATTGACATTGAAGATGACGCACAACATTTGAAAAATACACGATGTTTTGGATTCCTGTTATACCAGAAGAGTTAAATCTCATATATTCTACAGCACACATGTTAACATGTCAATACTTATTTTGTCGATGACAATATTGGTATTTTAAAAGCATATTTACAATTTAACAAATCCAGTCCATAACTGTACAATATAGATATGAAAATAGAGCAGCAAAGGGTGTGTGAGCGAGCGACTTGTCGCCTAGTATGGCCGGTGCCATAAGATAACATGGGGAGCGTATTTGTCGCCGAGACCGAAAAACGCTCCCGGTCGCGTTTGTTTTTCAGTCGCGGGTGGTCGCTGGCCGCGAGTCGCTTATAGTGTGGCCGCCTCCATTTAATTGAATGCTACGCACTTTTATTCATTGACGCAGCGACTAGTCGCTGCGACAAAGTCGCCAAGGACGCCAAGTGTGGCCCTAACCTAATAATTTGTTTTTCCTACAGTCACCCGGCAAAGTTGGCTTCCTTGTACTGTTTATAGTACAGAAAGCTGCTAATTGCTGCATATTTATACTTTGCCGTACGGTTTATACTTTGCCGTACGGTTTATACTTTTCCGTACGGTTTATACTTTGCCGCACATCAGGATTCCAACGAAACAATACAAAACAGCGTGGTTCTATTATGCACGTAATCCGTGTACGCTTGGAAATAGGTTGGCAACACTTAAAGATAATAATACTATGAGCAGCTGATTGACTATTATAACTACGATTTAACCTGTCATTTCGTGTTTATAGTTTCGGTATTTCTGAACTTACTGGACTTTTCTTTTAAACGTTTTTAAAACATTCCTACGATCTTAATAAACAAGAAAATACCTTTAAAGCACTTTTTTTAGGCGCGGAAACCACTTCAAATTACAAAAACATACGGAACTATATTCTCAAAACGCGGAGATAATTTCTTGCCGAGGAAAAATAGCGGAGTGATACGGACCGCGGGTACTACTTTCTTTAGGGCACCAGTTGTGTTGCCAGCAGAACCTAAAAACGTGTTGTATAGTGTTTGAAAGACTAATTATTTATATGCTTTATAGTGACTGTAGGAAAAATATAATGTGTAACACGAGTGAAAAAGGCCTTTGCTGCACTCGAGATCATTCCACACTCGCCTGCGGCTCGTGCGTAAACATTGCTCTCGTGTGCAGCAAAGTGCCACTTTCACCACTAGTTACACAAATAACTATTTCATTGTTGGATATTACATGGTTGGAAAACTTTTCTGAATCACTGTACACTGAAGCACAGATAATATAACCCCTACTAGGGGTTATATTATAACCCCCTAAACCCCTAGTAGGGGTTACATTATCTGTGACTGAAGACTGAAGGACTGAAGTGACCTGAAAAGAGAACTGAATCGGACTGAGACTGAGACTGAATCAAATTTCATCAGCAGCAGACCGCACGCTCGCACGCACAGCGGCACAGGCACAGCTCAAAGCTCAAACGAATAATGAGAATACTGAGATAATTCTAACCTATAAAATTCCATTCGCTTACCACTTACTTTTCGTGCAATCCCATGTCCTGTCCGCGAACTTCAAATACTGACCGGTGATAATACTTATCATTTACCAACACCGCCTAGTAATGTTTCGTAAGTATAGTCCAATTTATGACTAAGTTATTATTTTATGTGTGAACATGTAACCTAGTTAGCGATCTTCAAACCATTTCTTGAAATTTTCAGGTGCTGTATCTCAAGTTGCCACTAGAATCCAAGCTAGGTATGGTGGAAGAGCTGTCAGAAATGAAATATCAGGTTATTCAGCAGCAAGAAATTTGTAAGTAACTTATTTATAAATGAACAATATTTAACTTATCAAGCGTACCTAGTTGACAAGTTGCATAATAGCATAAGTAGCTCAATAGTATATTACGTTACTAGTCCTGAAAATAAGTGTTTACCGGACGAAAGTGGTCGTTCCCGTGCGAGACGAATTCGAGTACGGGATTACCATACGAGTCCGGTACACACATTTTGGACGAGTTGCGTACGATAGTTTACGCCATACTACTAAATCCCTACAAATCCTTATATATTTCCACCAACTAAAGGACTAAAAATCACTAAACCACTCACTGTCACCTAAATACAGTATAATGAGCTGATTGGTGTCCGGTAAAACTCATTGCAGTACAGTAGTATACAATGAAACCCCATTTGATTATGCTGGCAGCAAACAGCTATTAATGGTAATCCCGTACTCGACTTCGTCTTGCACGGGAACAACCACACTCGTCCGGTAAACACTTATTTTCAGGACTAGTAACATATTACAGTATACTATTCCTCAGGTAGGCTATATGGAAATCCATTGTTTCATTTAGACCTTAGTAAGTTTAACTTAAGTTAGGGCCTATCCCTTATTAATTAAATCCCACTAAGTTTACTTTAAAATAGGCCTAACTTAGGCCTCGTTTTCTTAAAACATAATGTTAAGCTTAAGCTAACTTAGGCCTACATGAAAATGATTTTCCCTTTTCCAAGTAGGCCTACCGGTAAGCTTACTTTAATATTTAATACTTTCTTATTAAATGGCGACCATACAAAGTAGGTATTTTGAGCTTAGCCCAGACCTCAGTTTATCTTGAAATAATTTAGAATTTTTTAGGTCTCAGTTGTAGCCTACCTTTAGAAAGATTCAGCAATTTAGTGCACCTGGGCCCTATAGTCTTTCCGCCCCCAGTCTGGATAATGTTACTTTACTAAAAAAACTATCAGGCCTAACCTAGCCCATATGATAATTTCTTAAACACCTCTCATCCACAATGCAATTTTATCATTGCAACTTTTTAAAGAATTTAAGTTTACTTGGTTCGGGTACTGTTAGAACTCGTGTGAAATAAAGAACGTTTACAAAATATTATCTAATAAAGAACTGATTTTATTCTGATAAATAACAATATTTAAAACATTTTCTCTGTATTGTTCTGTTCTTCATCACTTTCTTAAATTCTTAACACAACTCTTCTCAATTGTTTAAAATAAATTAAAATAAACCATTTGTTCATAAAAACAAAGACTAATAAATTATTATATTTGATGTTGATTAATATTGAAATTTGTATTATATAAAAAACAACTTAATTTCCAACATCCTCCCCACCTTGGAATTTTGCTTTACGTCATCAAAATTTCAAACAAAACTATTTACATGTTTCTTTTATAAGTTCACAAGTCCATTTTCCTAGGGATTTTTAACTTTCTCCCTCTTCTTGTTTCTGTTGGTGTTGATGACTTATCTTCCACTTCAAAATGTGCATCCTGTTTCCTTGAAAGTTCCCCAATCTTCCTTCTCTTTGATCCATGTCAGTACGATTGATGAGTCTGTCCAAAAATATGTTTTACATGACATCTTCAACGCCTTTTGAACATGTGTGTAGATCCGAGCTCCCATTCTCAGTGCGGCCAACAGCTCCAATCTTGGTATTGTTGCATTCTTTGGGGCAATCCTAGATTTTGCATATATAAGCTGCACAGCTACCTTGTTTTGAGACTTGGTTCTGATAAAAAGACAAGCTGCATAAGCCAGTTTACTAGCATCGCAAAATATATGAAAACTAGTCTCGTTTACGGACTGACTCCCTAACAGAAATAGTCTTCTTGGTATTCGACAGCTTTCCAACCAATGAATATTTTCAACCCACTTTGAAAATTGGCATGATATTTCATTTGGCAGTTCTTCATCCCATGTCAATTTTTTCAGCCATGTCTCCTGCAAGAGACATCTTTAGGTAATAAAGACACAGGACAAGTGAAACCTACCACATCAAAAATTCGCTGGGCTACTGAGAGTAGATCTCGTTTGGTTACCTTCTTGTTTGGCATAGAAATGGATCGTATGTCACAAAAAATCTCATCCTTTTTCCTGTCCCACAACATGCCCAGTAATGGTACAATATTTTCTGTTGAAAATTCATTTTCAAGGTTACTGACATCTGAATAGTTGCTAGCCCATTCTCTTAATTCAAACTGTCCTAGCTTCATTAGTTCCATGGATTCATTTACAAACTTTTTTAGTTCTACTGTAGAGTCAACACTAACAATACAATTATCAACATAAAAGGCATCTTTCAATTTCGCAGCTGTCTCTTGTAGATGAAGTGGTGCGTCATCCAAATGGTGATTTAGTGTGGCTCCTAACAGAAAGGGACTGGAGGTAATTCCAAAGACAACTCTGCAATGTCTAAAAGTTGTCAATTTTCTAGTCTTGTAGTCTTCCCACCAAATGAACCTAAGGTAGTCTCGGTCTTGAGGAGCTAAACTGATCTGTAAAAAAGCCTTTTTTTTGTCTGCTGTTACTCCAATCTGGTGCTTCCTGAATTTCATTACAAGAGATGGAATCAACTCTACTAAATTTGGACCTGTAGCCAAACATTCATTCAAAGAATGCCCTCTTTTGTCCTTTGTAGACGCATCAAACACTGGACGTATTTTAGTAGTTAAGCTACTCTCTTTTATGACTGGGTGATGCGGCAGGTAATGGACCTTTGTTGACTCTGCTGATTCTGGAACATTTTCTATAATCCCTTCTTCTAACCATTCTTTGAAGACTTTATCATAGTCGTGGAATTTGTTAAGGGTATTTAATCTTCAAATTGATGACATCAAACGTCTCTCTGCAATTTCATGATTTGTAAAATGAAATATTCTTATAATTGATTGGTTGATAACTTTTGTTTTGCGAGGTGAGGTTGGTAAGAGTGTCTGGACTATAACATTAACATTGCACCCCCAACCACTCTGAGCGGTAGCATCGAGCCAGCATCGTGGCTCTGGCAGCGGCTTTATTATGCGTACCGCTCGACAACTTCCTTATAGAATTAGAATCATCCTGAACCTAAGACTAACGTTGTGACGTAGTTGATGTGTAATGTTATAGTTTTACATTTACTGCAAGTATTTGTTACCATCAACTTCAAAATCAGAATGCTTCATTAGCCAGAATCAATTTGCAAAATATGTTAAGCTATGATTAAGTTATTTATTTTCATTTCTAAATATTTAAAAAAAATATTTTTCCTTGGCCGTGTCCAACCTAGGCTAGCTTGCGCCCATAGGCCTGGGCCTATTTGGCAATCCGGCTCTGTCGTCAGAGGAAACAATTCATGAAAAAGACCCACAACGAAATCACTGGTTTCCCCTCGACTTTCATGCTACTGTGTGTGTGTGTTTTCGTTATTGTTGTCTAACCTTTTTCTTCCTTTTCATACACTTAGTCTAACGTTTTCCCTGTACTGTAACTTGGCTACCTAGGTAGGCCTGTAGTTGCCATGACTAACTCAAGCATTTAAGATTCTTTTTCATTCTGTCAGCCTAAGCCACATGGAGCTCATATGTTAAGTTACTTTACGATACAAGATTTTAACTTAACTTAATGCATACAAATGTGTTACGGTACTTAAATGACAGACTGTTCTTGGACCAAAATTTTTAGTCTGTCTTGTTTTGCTGGACTCTTATTAATTATTTACAAGATAACTTAATGTGCCAAAGCCATGGGTCATCAAATATATTATTTAATAGAACATTAGTTTAATGTATTTATCAACGTTCAATCAACTACCTTTTGTTTTATTTTGTTGTTGTTTGTACCTGGCTAATTTGCCTTTTGTTTTGTAGAGGTGCCTTTAGTTCTAGATGTTCTAAGTTTATATCACTAATGGCAAGAACTAAAGGCGACTTTAGAAGACAAAAGGTAAATTACATTAAAAGTTCTTGAAACTGGGTGAAATTACAAACTTTCAACTAAACTACTAGTATTTAAATTTTAAAACTGTTCAACTACTTTAGGAATATAGCATAGGAATAGAAGAAAAAACCTGTCTTTTTCCAAAAATAGTCAAAGAAAAGCTAAGTACATGTTGAGATTTGCCTTTAGTACATAAATGGGCTTTGCAAAAATCTATACCGTAACCCATTTTTTAATTATTTTCAGGTCCTTCAACAGACCCAGTTATACAGCCAGAAAAAGAGAGGACTTCCATGATTTTAATGACAACGGCACAGGTGACCGGTGGGAAAGGGATGAATATTCAGGCTCTTACACTCGTAAATTTGAGGGTCCCAGAGCATGGAATCAGAGGAACAACAATTACGCACCTATGGACAATATAAATCCACCTGATTGGAAAAATAGTAAACTAACCACTTTTCGCAAAAACTTTTATCAACCTCACCCGAATACGGAGAACCGGACTGTAGAAGAACTGAAAAAGTTTTATGATACACATAAAATAAAGGTGTATGGTGATGCTCCAAAGCCAATTTTACATTTTGAGGAGGCAAACTTTCCAAAATATGTTGCAGATACAGTACAGTAAGTGTGACAAATTAACTTAAGGTTAATGCAATAAGTTAGTTTTATGTCAGGCCTATTTAAATTAAATTTACCAATAAATGAGCCTAAAGGAATGAGCTCTCAACATAATTTTCTAGGTATAACCCAAATCATAGAAGTTTTATAGTTTTTGGAAACATGTGTTTGCATACTACCTATGGTTTTAATTCAAATTAATCTCCTTAGAAGAGAACAGACCCTATGTAGCCTATTTGTCCACCTAGGCTAGTAAAAATGTGTTCCTTTTTCATTTTTATCCTAGTAGGCCTATCAGTTTTATCCTACATTGTTTTGTTTTGTTAGAAATCTTTGGTTGCATACAATACTTTTTGCCACACTACTAGTAACAAGTTTTTTGCTAGTTATAGATGGATAGATTATTTAAGATGGGGACGCCACTATGTGCATATTTTAACCCAAATATGAGTGAAGGATGAGTTGGGTGACCTTATAGTCTTGTTAGTGACTAAGGCCGACACAGCTGTTAATTAATAGCTCATACAGCTAATGGAAACTAAGGGACCTACAGTTTATAATGGAATCCGAACCACATTTTTGCCTTGGTATTAACGAATTGGTCTAATTATCAGGATAGTACTGTGGATAGTCTTAATACTCACTAGTGCGGGCGTTAATCCACACCAGGGAGTATCGCATTCACAGTGCATGCCTATAAATATCCACAATTCGGGACCTCCTAGTATCTGGATTACAGGACAACGCCACTGTCTAAGTCCCAGTCTAGTTGTTTAGACATGTAGACTAACATAGCCTTACTAATAGTTATATTATTTCACCACTTAAAATATCTAATACTCTAACCCATACCTTTGACTATTAATACCTACAAGACATTCCATCCCCATGTTAAGGATGTCGCCTGTGTTCTTTATGAAGAACTTTGTACCTAGTCGATAGATTATGCTGATCTACTAAATTAGGTACTAATTTCTGTTGAATACAGGAACTTTTTACCAAGCCAAACTGATAGAATGACTTATTGTGAGCTATAGCAACTGTTATAACCCATCAACTATTTCAGCAACAAAATATAAGGTGTAAAATAGAATTTTAGACATTAGCGCATTCTGTGACTGGCTCACACAACTACATATTTTCTTTTTTAATAAAACCTTGGCGACAGCTGGTCCATATATATGGGATGTTTACTTCAATATCCAATAGTTGATGCCCTTAACCTGTTTTTTTTTTTTTTTTTTATATTATCAGACAGCAGATTTGAGCCTATTTTTTCTTACTTAACTCAAGGCCACACTAAAAAAACAGGCGATAATGCTCGCCAAGCATGACGTCACGATAGAAGCCGGCTATGACGTTTAAGTACTTATTTATTTTCCAATGAAAGATTAAAACAAGCAGCTGATCACAAACGGCAAAATTACGTCATTGCCGTCTTCTATCGTGACGTCATGCTGGACGAGCATTACGGCCTGTTTATTTAGTGTGGCCTTGCTTAACTACACTATTATTTTATAGAATTTCACAATATTGTCCATTCTAATGCAACTTCCAATAAAGGTTAATAAGTAAATGATCACTCTGTAGACACTATGTTGCTTGCCAATCAAAGTGATTCACACCTACACAATATTTGCATTGTTGCGGTAGACAAGTCTGTACGTGCTGAGGAGGGGGGGGGGAGATAGCTCCGTCAACATTATAGCATTGTTGTAGCGTATTCCAAAAGTGACCCGTAAGTTTACCATACTCGGCCGACTTCACCGATCCCTATCTGTAAACAACTTTCTGGAAAGAAGCTGCTTACTGTGTAGTCTGGCAAAGAATATTTAAACCAAAACATTGTTAAGTTTTTAAATTTCAGTTATTTCTTGGGGGGGAAGGGGGGCAACCCCATTCTGCTGATGCTCAAAATTTGATGGACATAAGACAAGACATTTCAGGGTGTCCACATTCTGGAAAGTCAGGGATAGTCATGGAAAGTCATGGAAAAAAATTTTGGTCATTGAAAGTCAGGGAAATAGGCAAGAAGTCATGGAAAGTCATGGAAATTTCCAATTATGGATGGATTTGAGGGGACCATTCAATGCTGTAGTTGGCCTTAACCCCGACTGTTGTACCATTTTTCAGGATTTTTCACAAATGTTTGACAATTCAATTTATTACGGTTGTATTATTTTATGAGTTTTCGGTTTGTTTTAGTTCATTGTTGTACCTATTGTACTCCATTGTTATCTGTTATTACATATTTCAGTATTTTCTGCAAAATAACATGTCCAGGCAGTATTATTTGTGTGTGTATGTTATATTATAATTTGCGTGTAAAGTTTGTGAGTCATGGAAATCAATGGTAAATGGTCATGGGTAGTCATGGAAAGTCATGGAAATTAATGACAATTTTTTTGTGGACACCCTGCATTTAATGTTTTGATTTATTGGTGAGAAATCACTTTTGTCCATCATGAAATTTTTGACAGTTTTAGTTTTATTTCATATTTGGTGATTGTTTCAGTAAAATTGGCTTTGATAATCCGACACCAATCCAGGCGGTTGGTTGGCCAATAGCTATGAGTGGCCTTAATATGGTTGGTGTTGCACAAACAGGTTCAGGGAAAACTTTGGGGGTGAGTAGTCGACAAGAGATTTTAAAAACTAAGCTTAATAGATTTAGAGGGTTTCCAACAGCAAAATCATCCATGGTAAAGTGGCATTAGTTGATACTGTGTTGCACCTACAGTTTTAAATATTAAAAATGTTAATACAGTACCAGTTGCAAGTTTAGAATGCATTATATTTTTTACTAAATAATGAACTTTTCCTTCAATGAACCTGAAACTTTTACCTTTTATATTTTCTACAACATTTGTTAAATTGCAATGCACATCATTTTTGTGTGTAGTTTCTAAACTCAAGATTTAATTTCAGAAAAAACTTTTGTGTATTCGCCTGTTTATTGATATGTGCCAATTAGCTTGCTTTTGTTTATCGTGTGTGGTTTTGTGTTGGAAACCTTTTACAGTCTTCTATCAATTAAGGAACTCATCAAGTTGTTATCCCTCCCCAATTTTACATAGGTATAATTTTTTTAGAGTTTCCCTTCTTTTCCAGGGAAGACATTTTTATCTTCATTTTACAAGTCATACAGACTAAAATATTTAAATTATTTTTAATACAGACTAAAATATTTAAATTATTTTTAACAAATATTCCACTCTAGTTACCTAAAATAATCAAGTTCAATGGAAACTGGGAAAGAATAACAACTTGAAGTAATATTTCAATATTATTTATAGGCCTACACAACGTACTGTTGTGACATGGTCGTTTGTATTTATTTTGTTGATTTAAGTCAATAAGCATGTTTTGGAATTCATTAAGTATTCTAGGACTGTGCATGTTTCAAGCTAGCTGATAATTTCTTATGGTTTGGCTGTACTAAACTAGTCATGGGCTCTCCTCCCCCATGTGAAATCTCTAAAAACAAATCTATGCAGCTAAATTTTAAGCAATCCAAAGTGGTTCTAGAACCTTTCTGGCCAGTGTTATTTTTTGTTTTGTGGGATTTAACAAGGGGGAATTTATTTGTTGTAAAAATGGAGTTGAGTAATATAGATAACTAAACTGGATCAATTCATTAAATGTATTTAATTTGTCAACCATATTTTGAGCCACTATTAGTAGTGTCACGGATATTTTATATATCAATCATCACAAAACGAATCATTAGCAAACTAGTTTAACATTTTTAACATAGTTTGTGGACGTAGTGTAATTTTCAACTCAACATACGCATGATTCAAAACCATTTCTTTTCACGACTAAAAAATACTCATTATGTTAAAAATGGCTTTCCTTCTACAAAAAAAAAAAAAATATGTTTACAAATTCAAGTGTAAAATACTACTAGGGCACTTTTGTAATCGCAAATTAAATATTTTTTTACAGAAAGCAAAGTTGACTAGGCTATACAAAATAAAATAATAAAAAGATTATATGGATAAATAGGGCTAGTTGAACTTTAAGTGACCATACCATTCGTAATTTCTTTCTTTTAAAACTTTTAAGAGAATTGAATAGTTTTTGTTGTCGTCTAGATGATTTAGTAAAAAAATATAGTTTTGACCATTAAATTGTTTTTTAAACTTGATCTTTTAATAATTAGGATATAGGCTAATAATCATTATATCCATGTATAAATTATAAAAAGGCTAAGAGACCCAATTAAGAGTTTTCTACTCAGAGCTTGTGCATCAGAGCTCAACAAATCACAATCAACACAATATTACTCTCTGGAGAAGCTACTGGTGATTTTATTACCACGAAAAATATGCAAATGTCATATTAGAAAATGCATATTTAATGGTTTGGCTTTTAAATTAAATTTAAGGCTGACTGTGTTCAGTTTATAAGCCATTTTAGATCAAATTTGATGAAAATTTAGATTAAAATATAACTTGGACTATAAATTAATGACATTTTAAATTGGGATAGGAAATAATAGTGTTTATATGTTACAAGGGTTATAAACATTTCTAAATTGTGTAATCAATAATTTTTTTTTTAAATTGCAATCAACGTACATGGCCAATCAGGCCATGGTTATATTTTATTCTATAAAACATTTCTTCTTCAGGAAGAAAAGATACAGTAGCCTATCAGGTGAACTATAGCTTTCATTACACTGAATGTTCCCACTGTGTGAAGTAATTGTTTCCAAATAAAATGAATTTATAGATAGGCAATAAATAAATTAATGACAATAATGTGTTTTTACGGTAAAAAAAAAACAATAAAATTAAGGCCTGAACAATTCAATTATAATGTAACCCATGCTTGGTTAGAAGCTCATTTAGCCATTGATTACAAAGTAATTGAAATCTGCTAAGCAGGCAAACTATCCTATCAGGTGAACTATAGCTTTCATTACACTAAATGTTCCCACTGTGTGAAGTAATTGTTTCCAAATAAAATTAATTTATAGATAGGCAGTAAATAAATTAATGACGTTAATGTGTTTTTACGGTAAAAAAACAATAAAATAAAGGCCTGAACAATTTAATTATAATGCAACCCATGCTTGGTTAGAAGCTCATTTAGCCATTGATTACAAAGTATTTGAAATCTGCTAAGCAGGCAAACTAGAGACTATAAAACCAATATTGGATAAATAGGCTACCATTAGTTAGTATGAATGTTTTTCATGTGCTATCGTTGGTTCAGAAAGCACAGGAAGTAGTTTGAACTTTGGCAGTGACTTTTTTAACAATATACAAATTAAGAAACAAGAGTAATGTTAAAAAGAACGCTCCAACATTTTTAAAAGAAGCTCATAATGCAAGACGAAGATAGACCGACAAAAAGAAGAAATAAGAAATTTGTCATAAGACGATCATGTGTTTACATTAGTTTTCAAAAGAGATGTCCAAAGCAAATCTTTTTGTAGGAAACAGTTGAGCTAAGCCAACTTCAATGCCTAAAGTATGTCTCAATCAATCTACTTATTTACAAACACCAATAAAAACTTTCAATATAGAAGAAAAGATCAATATTATATATCACTAAGGGGGAGGAGAAGTGTCAAGACGATTCATTGATCATTATCTCTGATTTATTTACCTTGTGGAATTGTATCCGACAATTTGTTTCTTCCAGCCGTCACTGTCAAAGCCACTTATCAGGCAGTTCTCAAAAATGGCTGGTAAAAAAAGGAAAAACTCAAATGGTGGAAACTCTGGAAGTGGCGATGATAAAGACAAGGAAATCAGTATTGAACAAATGTATCAGAAGAAATCGCCAGAAGAACACATTTTACTGAGACCTGATTCTTATATAGGATCTGTGGAACCAGTCACAGAAACAATGTGGGTGTATGACCCTGGAACTAAAGCGATGACACAGAAAGAAATCACTTATGTCCCTGGCTTGTACAAAATCTTTGATGAGATTCTGGTAAATGCTGCTGATAACAAACAGCGAGATCCTAAAACAAATTGTATCAAAATAGATATAGATGCTAAGAAAAATATGGTTTCAATATGGAATAACGGTAGGGGGATCCCTGTGGTGGTGCATAAAAGCGAGAAAATGTACGTTCCAACGTTAATCTTTGGACATCTCCTTACATCCTCTAACTACAATGATGAGGAGCAGAAAGTAACGGGTGGAAGGAATGGCTTTGGAGCAAAACTGTGCAATATTTTCAGCTCAGAGTTTACTGTTGAAACTTGCAGCTCTGAGTATAAACTGTGTTTTAAACAAACATGGAAAAATAACATGTCAGTGGAAACAGAACCTATAATAACGCCAAGTGCAGACGAAGAATACACCAAAGTAACATTTTATCCAGATCTTCGCAAATTCAAAATGAACAAATTGGATGAAGGGATTCTAGATTTGATGAAGAGAAGAGCTTACGATGTTGCAGCTTCAACTAACGGAGTTCAAGTGTATCTAAATAAAAATCTTATTCCTGTGACAAATTTTAAAGATTACGTTCAGTTGTTTGTAAAGACAAAAAAAGATTTAAACGACAACCAAGCAAAGATAGTTTATGAGAGAGTCAATGATCGATGGGAGGTTGCTATGGCTGTGTCTCCTGATGGATTTCGCCACATGAGTTTTGTCAACAGCATCGCAACCACCAAAGGTGGTCGTCACGTAGATCTTGTAGCTGAACTGATCACCAAACAGCTCATGGAAGTTTTCAAACAGAAGAAAAGAGGAGTAGATGTGAAGCCTTACCAAATCAAAAACCACATGTGGCTGTTTATCAACTGTCTTATTGTTAACCCGACATTTGATTCCCAAACAAAAGAAACCATGACACTTCAACCCAAAAGTTTTGGCTCTAAGTGTAGTCTTTCTTCAAAGTTCATCAAAGAAATTACCAAGTCCGGTATTATTGAAACTGTTCAATCTTGGGCTAAATTCGAGCAGGAAAGTCAACTTGAGAGGGCTTTGAGTGGTAAAAAACAGAACAAACTGAAAGGAATACCCAAACTAGAAGATGCAAATGATGCAGGAACAAGCAAGTCACTGGATTGCACTTTGATATTGACAGAAGGAGATTCAGCCAAATCCCTAGCTGTTTCAGGTCTTGGAGTCATTGGAAGAGATAAATACGGTGTATTTCCCCTCAGAGGCAAGTTGCTCAATGTACGAGAAGCTACTCACAAGCAAATACTGGAAAATGAAGAAATAAACAACATTATTAAAATTACTGGTTTGCAATACAAAAAGGTTTACAAGACAGTCGATGATTTGAGGAGTTTAAGGTATGGTAAATTAATGATAATGACGGATCAAGACCAAGATGGTTCCCACATTAAAGGATTGATAATCAATTTTATCCATTCCAATTGGCCATCATTATTAAAGCTTCAATTCCTCGAAGAATTCATCACCCCAATCCTCAAGGCCTCAAAAGGAACACAAACTTTGTCTTTTTATTCATTAGCTGAATTCGATGAGTGGAAAAAGGGTGTAAAAAATTTACACCTATATAAGGTTAAGTATTATAAAGGATTAGGTACATCTACATCAAAAGAAGCCAAAGAATATTTCTCAGATTTGGGACGTCATCGAATAATGTTCAGATACGGAGGTGTCAATGATGATAAACAAATTGAAATGGCTTTCAGCAAAAAAATGGTGGAAGCTCGGAAAGAGTGGCTCACTGACTGGATGGCAAGAAGCAAAAAGAGAACAGAAGATGGTATTCCAGAAGACTATTTGTATACTAAAACAGTTAAGGATGTTACGTATGAAGATTTTGTCAACAAAGAACTTGTACTATTCAGCAATCTTGACAATGAAAGGTCTATTCCCAATTTAGTCGATGGGTTGAAGCCTGGGTCCAGAAAGGTTCTTTTCACATGTTTGAAACGCAGTGACAAGCGTGAAATCAAAGTAGCACAACTGGCGGGTTCTGTTGCTGAACAATCTGCTTACCATCACGGCGAAGTGTCTCTCATGCTAACTATCGTCAACTTGGCCCAGAACTTTGTCGGGAGTAATAACATAAACTTGCTTCAACCTATAGGTCAGTTTGGTACAAGACTACAAGGAGGAAAAGATGCTGCTAGCCCTAGATACATATTCACAATGATGAGTCCTTTAACCAGACTGATTTTTCACCCACATGATGATCCCCTCCTTACTTATTTAAAAGAAGACAATCAAAGCATTGAGCCAATGTTTTATGTCCCTGTGATTCCGATAGTGTTGGTGAATGGTGCAAGTGGTATCGGAACAGGTTGGATGACTAAAATACCTAACTATAATCCTAGAGATATCGTCACAGCTATTAGGAATATGATGGATGGAAAGGAGCCAACTAAGCTAATACCTTGGTACAAAGATTTTCAAGGAAATATCAAAGTTTTTACTAAAGATAGTTATATCTGCACGGGTAATATATCTGTAGTAAAACCTGATACAGTGGAGATCACCGAACTGCCTGTTGGTACATGGACTCAGGCTTATAAAGAGTCAGTGCTGGAAGTAATGCTGAACGGAGATGGTGATAAGAAACCATCCATTATCAATAGCTACAAGGAATATAACACAGACACATCGGTGCGGTTTGTAATCAAACTATCACCTGAAAAACTCAAGGAACTGAACTACAGTGAAGGGCTACACAAATTCTTTAAGCTGCAGTCCAACATAACCATCTCAAGTATGTGCCTTTTTGATCGTAACAGTGTTCTGAAGAGATACGATAATGTAAAAACCATTTTAAAAGAGTTTTTCGCAATTCGTTTGGAATACTATGAGAAAAGAAAAGCATACCTGACCAGTCTATTGGATGCTGAAGCAAAAAAACTTATTAATCAAGCGAGGTTTGTTACTGAGAAATGCAATGGAAATCTTACAATAGAAAATAAAAATAGGAAAGCAATAATTGATGAATTGATTGAGAGGGGATACGACTCAGATCCCGTTAAGTCTTGGAAATTATCGCAAGATAATAAGGCGATTTCGACAGATAATGAGGAAAGTGGACCAAACTTTGAATATCTCCTTGGCATGAGCTTATGGTCATTATCAAAAGAAAGGAACAATGAATTGTTGAAGGACTGTGACCAGAAGAAAGTTGAACTTGCAGCCCTTGAAGAAAAATCAGCAAAGGATATCTGGAAAGAAGACCTTGATGCTATATGGAACAAATTAGACGAAATAGAAGGCAACAGTAGAAAAACGAATGACAAACAAACAAAACAACACACATAAATTAAAAAATAAAACATACATGTAACTGCCCCCAGACACAAGCAAACTAGGTATCAGTACTTTTGGTCCTATCTGTTTAAGATGAATCTTAATTGAGGTGAAGGATACTTAAACGCTCCTCACTAATCCTAAATATGGATACAACGATAAATAAATTTGAATAAGTCAGTATAGCTTGCCGTCTCAACGCCAAACTAATGATTGAAATGAGTATTATAGTTTTTTATCAGCTGTTTAAAACTTGATCCTTCACGTTAGTATTTTTTCGTTCATAATTAATTTATTGTATGGATTTAAATCGCCAATTCTGAAGCTTCGGTCCATAAAATAATGGTACTTAAAATGCTCTCTAGGCTTATTGAAAAAGTACTTATTACTGTAAATTATTATTAAGGCCTTTATTAAATGTTTTTGTGAAACTAAGCATTTAAAATACAGTGTCAATAACGTTTAAATTAAAATCAGTTACATATGAGAAATTATCATTGAGATTTGTACCAAATCAAAGTTACCAGTATTCATGGAACATTTCCATGTCAAATTGTACATACGTTTTGTAAAAGTAGTAAAATTTGTACTTTTGTAGTGTACGAATAAATAGTTAGTGTTTTAAATCCCCCCACATTACAAGAAAATCCCCATTAGTATATAGCCTTCCATTTGAAATATTATTCAAGAGGCTTGTCAATTCAATCAAACTATGTTTACTGGTCTCCATAGGAATGAATATAATGAAGTTAAAAATCATCCTTGAACTACTTGGTCTAAATAAAATTATTTACACAGTATTTCAGTCCAAATATTATTGTTTAACTGGTCTATAATTTTGAACACAGTGTCCCTCTCATAAGTATGTAAATACTCAAATGCTATTGTAATTGATGTAAATAAATATTATTGCTTTCTGTAGCCTAAGATTAATTAAATTTCTATAATGAACTTTTAAGATTGATTTTAAGATTTTACAGAAAAAAGTAAATATTGTAAAATCAAGTTATTCTAGTGTTTTAAACCTATAAATCGTTTCTTTTAACAAAATTTTGTTTACACATTGAGCTTTTTCTCTCCATAAAATAGAAGTTTTCACATTTTTCTTAGTAAAATTTTTTTTTTATTGTAATGCAGCTGAAAGCTCTGTTTTTTTTTTTTTTTTTTTTTTTTTTTTTAAATACATGCTACCAATATATAACGAACCAAAGTAAAAAAAAAATGCCAGCAATGAAGATTAAATTCAAAGGTCCTTTCATCTCAAATTGATTTGGAAGTTGATGTGAACATTGAAGTCGGGAAAATGAAGTGGTAAGTTGAAAGACGCTGTCAAAGGCAAGGAGTGGGATGAGCGGATCTCTTTCAAGGCTTTCTCCTAAGGTAAACCATTCATTTACTTAAATTTATTGTTTGTTTACTTAAAAATACACAAAGTTTCAAACAAAAAAGACTAAACAATGACAATCTTATGCAAACGCTTTTTTGAATAATTGATAAACTCGATTAATTTTGTTATGAAAATAGAATATTAGGAAAATATAGGTTTTAAGAGATATTAAAAAAAATTAAATGCATAACATTTAAAAATCAGTAACCCTTGAGTATCTTTTTTCTTTGTTACAAAACAATCTAAAATTTGTTTTGATGCCTACAAATATTTCAGATTTTGGTGTATTCAAATTGGTTTTCTTACTAACATATTAAAATAAAATGATCATGCTGACTTGTTTGAAAAACTCATTTTGGTATAGATATTACTCTATCAATAATTGTATCAAACAATCGGAGGAAACAAATGCTTTTAAAATACAAATCTTGATGTAATAGCTTGTAACAGCCAAACCATAAGTTAACAAAGATAAATCTTTAGAGTTTGGTATTTTCTCATTTTTACATGGAGGCCTTAATAAATTGGAAATTTGTATACAGTAGACTCCGTCTTAACCGACCTCGCATCAACTGATTATTGGATTATCCGCCCCCAGTCGTAAAATATTACAGTTTGTTTTAACTGATCTTGTTTTGAGAGCAGTTAGGTTTAACTGCCTCTTGAAATGTCGGCATTTCCGCTCCCACGCTAGCAATGAAAACAATACACTAAACTCTACAGGATATAAATAAACATCCTGTCTCATAACAAAATGGTTGCTTTTATCTTTAATTTCGTCAATACGCTCTGTATTGTATTACGATGGATTTGGAAAACATCAGTAAGGTATTAAAAACAGGGTTTTTATTGACTCAGGCCTATGACTATAATTTATTCCACTGAAAGTATTTGGCTTTCCAGTGTTTTGGGTTAGTTTTCTATTGTCAATAATTTAAGAAAAAGGGAGATAAGTGTAGTTTATTTTGTAAATAATACACTCATGACTTCAGAAAAGTGATTATATAATTCCAAATGCATAGCACTTAATTTTTTTCAAGTTTTTAGGGATTACCCGTTTTAACCGACCTTTTGAGCTATCTGACCTAGCTCTGGTCCCGTTAGGGTCGGTTAAGAGGGGGTCTACTGTAGAAGGTTTTAGGTAAGAAACAGGAGGTACCTTAAAAGGAGCTAATTTATTGAAACAAATATATTTTCATGGTATCTAATTTTATAATTTAAATTTTAAATTTTTTTCTGAATCATGTTTTTTTTTTCAATGTCTCTTTTCAGACAACTTTTGTTATCTTATTAACCATCAGAGTAATTAGATTTTTTTATTTTCTCTATTGATTGTAGTGTTGTAGGTATTCTGCTTCTTAACAATACTATTGTGTACAAAACTGTTCTTAAATACATAACTTCTTAGTATCTCTCATTATGTCTTTACCTTATTTTTAATAAATCTAAAAATATGTTTTTGTTTAATGTGTTGAAGATTTTTTTACTGTAGAAAATAAACCACTTATAACTTGCTTTTAGGAGTGCCTCTAAAAATGTCCCTTAACTTTTGTAAAAAAATTAGGCAATTCATTGTTTTATAGAGTGTTAGCCTTTTTAAACTTGTGTTTTTATACTTGAAATTATCTTTAATGTTACTTTTTGAGTAATGTTCAATTATTAATGGTTTATTGTTATTGGATGTGCATTCAATTAATGGTTTTCAAATTGTCGACACTGGTGGCTAAAATAATTCTTTTTGCTCAAATTTATTTCTTACTACTATTGTGTGTGTTTTTTTTTACAATGTTATACTTAACTTTTTGTGTTTTTGTCATAGAACAATGATTTTATATTATAAAGCAGGGGTCTCCAACCTACGGCCTGCAGGCCACATCTGGCCCACAAGCACATTTCTTCTGGCCCGCAGACAGCCAGCACAGCCTTATGATAAAAATTCCTTTTGATGGAAAATACCCGCCACTTTTTTTTCTTCCACGACCACCTGTGTTCTGGTAGTATTGTCAATACCATGACCGTTTCCCGTGAATGCGATAACACTTATTGCTCTTTCTTGCTGTCTCTTGCAAAAACGTGATCGTCTCCTAAGATCAAGGCAAAACTCGTGACCATACCACTTTGTCTCGGCAATTAATACCATGATTGTGGCAACACTCGTCAACGGTGATTGTGATTTCCATGTGACGTTAAAAGAGAATATTACGCCATCAATGAGTGGATGATTGGTCATAGAAATTGACGGTACTCCCGACCTTACAAGATTCAAGTGCAATTCACTGTCTTTTTCCCATTAAACAAAATTCTGGTACAATTCCGAGTCTCCATGTTAGCTGGCTACCATGTTTAAATATGAGTAGAGTATGTCTCTCACTTTCCATTTTTTCCTGGAATTTTAGCTAACCGACAAGCTATATAAAGCCTATATGTGTAAGGTAATATAGGAAAAACAGAAAAAAATAAAATCTCAAAAAACACCAATAACCTCTTAATTAATTAACAATTTTATAGGTTTATAAGGAGGGGATTAACTTTCTGCACTGAATTATGACTTTAAAAAAATAATATTAAAATATGACACCTTCCCTTCAAAAATTTACAATGCAGGCGTCAAGGAAAAAGGTGGGAGACACCTGTTATAAAGGACTACTTCAACAAAAAATACATTTTGTATTCTGCAGGTTTTATGTAAGCTTTCAACTAGGCCTACAATCAATTTTACATCATGAGTTAATTTATCATCAAACATAAAAATCATCAAGTAGCTTGCAAATTTATTTTTTGTAGTGTGTTATGTGTCTACCAGAATTAACATCTGTTAAAATATACAAAATACCCTTTTATTAAAGCATGGGGCACTCCTAGGGTTAAGTTATTTGTGCTAATGTTTAGTGTTGTTTTTATTTTATTTTTTATTTTGTTATTATTAACTTTGATTAGTAAGCAATTTTACTAAAGAACTCAGGTGAAAAAGGATAACAACTATAACTGAAAGTTTTCCAGGAATTAAATTGTTTGTGTCTCCACACTTGGTAATTGCTCAAATTTTGTCACGTTTGCACAGCTTTTTAACGTTTCTTGTAAGAAAACAATAAACGCTATACTAGCAAGAGTTATATGTTGATTTGACCATCCAAATTTATTGACGACCTAAATTCCAATATAAAATGGTCGGTTAGGATGAATTACAGCTTAATGATACTCAAACGACTCTCTTTTTCATGCGACTTCCCTCAGTTTAAATAAAGTTAACACTTTTTTTTAAATGGAAAGCCTTGGTATTTTAGATCCTATTAAAAGTTATATTTTACGCAACCTCACTGATGTGTTGTTCACACAGTACATCCTACCAGCTACAGTGCACATCAACAATCAAGAACCGTTGCGTCCCGGAGACGGACCCATCGGACTAGTGTTGGCGCCGACTAGAGAACTGGCGCAGCAGATACAACAAGTGGCACGTGACTTCTCGTCTGGACTGAAGTCTTGTTGTGTGTACGGCGGTGCGGGCCGCGGACCTCAAGCGCAGATGTTGGAACGTGGTGTGGAGTTGGTGATAGCCACGCCTGGCCGCCTTCTGGACTTCTTGGAGCGAGGTTAGTTGACTGTGGTAGTACATAATTACATTAGAGTCTCGATTATCTGACCTTAGAAAGTGTTATCTGACACTTTCTGTGAACCATTGAATACCAAGTCACATGATATTTTTGTGTGGTATGATGGTACCACACAAACACTGCAGGTACCATGGTACAACTACTTTTGTCACTCCAGTTTGTACTTGGAAGATAGGGCAGGTTAAAGGCAACTTAACTTGTCTGAATTGGTTGATTGTATTTAGCAAGCTGAATACCACACAGTTTGTCAACTCTTAAACCTGCTTACCTCTTAGCTACCTCTCGTGTCTTGGAGACCTTTGGCAGAGTGGACGAGTATTGCTTTGTGTTACGTTTTCTTCTAATATCATGTTTCTCCCGATTTATCAGTATTTTTGCTTGTAGGTGTGACCAATCTGAAGCGCTGTACGTATGTGGTCATGGACGAGGCTGACAGAATGCTTGACATGGGTTTTGAACCCCAGATCAGAGCTATCATGGAGCAGATCAGGGTAAGTTTTGTTTATTTTTAGGAATATGAACGGGTTAAACCATTGAATTGTGGCGTTAGACAATACAAGATTTGGACCAGTGCTTTGCAATAAAGGGTTATGATTTATCACATGAAAAATCCATTGTTATAATTTTAAGCGTAACAAAAAAAGATCCTCATGCACTAAGATCATGAGGATTATGAGTTGTGATAGTTATACATTGTGTTGTTTAGGATTACTGCCGTGTGTGTCAGACTATGAAATTTCAGATTATTGAGAGTCAACTGTTTGTTATACTTTAGTTGTTTTTCAATATCTTCGGCGTGTACATTATATACATGACAGATCACAAAAATGTAATGAATGATGAAATTTCTGCTCTCATAATTTTTTTCCTAGCAAAAAGATATGCAATCAAACATAGGGTGTTTTGCTGTTACAGCCAGATAGACAGGTGCTGATGTGGTCTGCGACATGGCCTGAAGAGGTGAGGCAGCTGGCCAAAGACTTCCTCAAGGATTATGTACAGATCAACATCGGCTCTACGGAACTTTCAGCCAATCACAACATCACTCAACATGTGGAAGTCTGTGAGGAACACGAGAAAGAAAATAAGTAGGTCAAAACAGTGTGTCTGTTATGTTATATAATGTTTAATCCTTATATAACAGTGGACTGTATTTGATAGGTATCAAAGAAATAATGATTGAGAAGAGTACAAACTGTATTTACAAATACATTAAAAATAATAAATATCATCAACGTTTGTTTGAAGTATTAATTGGTTAGTACAGTAAGTATCAAACACATAAGTTGAATGTATGTTTGATAACCTAATTTCAAAATGTAATGTAAATGTTTAAACAAAATGTCATTTGCCTATTGGGTATGATTATGATTGGAGTGTCCAATCGAAATTACCACTTGCCATATTTTATATTTTACCGTATTGTTTGTTTGCATTATAGGTGTAGATTTGTGTTTCAATAATGTTATTAGACATTTTTTTTATTTACTTTCCTTAAATTTAATAACACATTGCTGAAAGAAGTTATTTAAACAAAATGTAAAACTATTATGCATTTTTGTTTTTGGTCTCAACCGTGATGTCAGTTTGGTCCTCTGAAGAGACAGCTCACTGTCGGAGATGGGTGGTTGTGTTTTAATCTCAGTATAATTGGAAGGTGTGATAGGTGAAATGGAATGTAAATTTACTGACTTACTTCTACTCAAGATAAATTGACTAACTTATTTAAGATTAGCTTTTTTTAGCTTGGACCGTTGATTAAAATCCCAATAATCAAGGTAGTGAAGATATTTTTACAAGACGAGATCCTAAGCAGTAAAGAATTTTTTATTCGTATCCTTACCAATGTATATATTTTACAGGCTCAGAAACCTGTTGAAAAAGCTATTTTCTGAAGAAGATGTTGGAAAAACAATTGTTTTTTGTGCAACCAAACAAAAGGTTGATGAGGTTGCGAGGTTTATTTCAAGACAGGGGTGAGTAATATAAGTTAATCATGTTTTACGTTTATACTTACAAAAATATTTTTTTAAAATGTGTTGTCAAATTCTAGGTGTACTCAACATAGTACCACTCAAAAGTCAAGTAGGTTTTTAAAATCATTCAAAGTAGAGACAAGTATAAAAAACCGGTAAAAAAATAGTTATGTAAACAAAATGTTTGCACTTAAACTTTTTTTATTATTTACACCAAGTATTAAACACCTTTGTTCTGAATACTGATTTTCTGTTTTGAGAGGTCTCTTATCGTACATTTCATTACATATACGTTTAAAAACGTGTTTCAAGATCAACTTCTTTTGTGTTGTAGGTACAAAGCCATGGCGATTCATGGGGACAAGTCTCAAACTGAGAGAAATTACGTATTAAGAGGTGAGTTGACTCTCTCAAACATATGACCTCATAATCTATAAATTGTTCTAAATTTAAAAATATATTTTACATCTTCACAACTGTTTTATTATTCTCTGTTATCCAACCTTTCCGCCTACCTGACCTAGCCACAAGTCAGGTCCAAACGCAAGATTTGATGCAACTCATGAAGGGCTCACCTGTCTCAGAGCAGGCAGATTTGTCCTCTTGAAATGACATTGGAGGCTGGGTTCTTTTGTGAATTGAGCATTTCATGAGGCTTTGAGCTACTTCTTAAATCTTAACCAATCAGCAGACAAGTATTAGACACAACAGTTTCTTTTTATATTTAGGTCAATCATGCAAAAAATTCATTAAATATAATTTATTAGCAATCTATTAGCTACTAGTACCAAAAGGATCAGTGGGGTTATTTTAACTTTGCAAAGTAACTACACAAAATATTTCATATTTTGCAGTTTTAACTAATTTTGCGTATCATGTTTCAGAGTTCCGCCATTCAAGAAGTTCTATTTTAGTGGCAACTGATGTTGCAGCAAGGGGCTTGGGTATGTTCCTTGTGTTTCTTAGTTTTACCTTTATTCAAACATTTACTTTAAGTCATCAACTTTATTATAGATCTCATTGAATTTATCCCCAAAAAGATGTTGAAATTCTCTGATAGATAAACAGATTATTGTAGTTGTAAAATGTATGATGAGAAAGATTTTGGTAATATTCTTTTCACCCAACTGTCATTATAAGCGTGAATCACTAATCAAATATGATGTCTTAGAATTGCCTAACAGTGATCGAGACCTTTATATATTTTGGTCATAATATGCTACGGAGTATGCTCCAGTCATAAATGAAGAGCAAATTAGATTCAGGGAGAATTGTTACCAACAAATATTTACTCTGCAAGGTTGGCCAGAAAAAAATATGGAGGATTATATTATTTGTGCTTTACTCTGGTAATAACGCTAAAAGACAAACAGTGGTTTTTAAATCTATTTAAATCCTTTTATTCCCTTTTTTTAATGCTGAATTTGTTTAAGTCCCGACCCCCATCCCCCTACACACCATATTAAGCTCATATATAGTATACTCATTGTTGTGGTTTGCCCCTGAGCTGGTAAGACAAATATTAATAGTGGTTTATTTACCTTGTATTTTCGTCACAGCTCAAAAATGTTGTATAAAAGCTACAACCATGGTTTCGACGCCGTTTGCGTCATGGTCACGTAGGACATGTCGAGAATCAAAGCATAGTTGTTGTTGTCATAGTCGGTCGCTTGGACGTCGTCAAAAACACATTAACACAAACACGAACACATACGGACATATTAACACTTAAAAATGTTCTCGGGGACGGAATACAGGCCTGTGTTTATTTAACTGTACCGTCGCGGGAGCCGGCTGGAGAACACAGAGCGCGACGGCGACGATGATAAGACGACCCTTGTACCTTAGGACATGGACTCGTCCTTCTGTAGGGGGTGTGTGTTGAACTCGTCTGACGTCCTACTAATATTATAAATGAGAAAGTTTGGATGTATGTATGGATGTATGTTTGTGACAAGTGAACGCGAAAAATACTGGTCGGATTGGGCTGAAATTTGGCATGATGATAGCTCACATTCCCGATTAACATATAGGCATATTCATATTTCAAAAATCCTTTCGGGCTCCGCCCCAGTGGCTCTGGAGTTTCCCATGTTAACCTTATGAGAAATGGAATTATTGAATCTTAACAGCTGTTTCAATTAAACAAGTTGGTTCTGTTCTATGATGTTCAATAGCATTAAAGTTACAAGGATTACCAACAGGGTGCAACACTATTATTTCTTTTACATTTATGACAACAGCTAATTTGCAACCAAAAGGTGAGTGAGCGTAGCGAACGAACTTCAACCTGGAGGCGAGTTAGCGTAGCGAACGAGCTAACCTGAAGGCAAGTGAGCGCAGCGAACGAGCTCCAACCTAAAGGTGAGTGAGCGTAGCGAACAAACTTCAACCAGGACGTGATTGAGCCATGCGAACGAGATAATCTTGAAAATTAAGAAGTTAAACGGGGCAAAGCCCGCGGGTTACAGCTAGTTACCTATATATGAGTATTAATAGTGGTTTATTTACCTTGTATTTTCGTCACAGCTCAAAAATGTTGTATAAAAGCTACAACCATGGTTTCGATGCCGTTTGCGTCATGGTCACGTAGGACATGTCGAGAATCAACAAAGCATAGTTGTTGTTGTCATAGTCGGTCGCTTGGACGTCGTCAAAAACACATTAACACAAACACGAACACATACGGACATATTAACACTTAAAAATGTTCTCGGGGACGGAATACAGGCCTGTGTTTATTTAACTGTACCGTCGGGGGAGCCGGCTGGAGAACACTGAGCGCGACGGCGACGATGATAAGACGACCCTTGTACCTTAGGACATGGACTCTTCCTTCTGTAGGGGGTGTGTGTTGAACTCGTCTGACGCAGGGGTGCCCACAGGGGGGTTTGATGTCGCAAAATGCGACATCAGAAATTTATTTGGGGGGGATTTTATGATTTTGGGGGGGATTCAAGCCAGTGGTTGGTTAAAAGCACATAAAAGATTAATCAGATAATTTTTACGACCTCAATTTATTACTGGGGTGATTATGCAATCAAAATCCCGTTTGACATTTTATCTTGATTAATAAATCATTTTATAATTGCTATAAAATATATAGATACTTTTATGTGGATTTCCACTTTCTGGCTCGTATCATGTTTGACAGTGAGAACAACTCCATGCCAACTGCTGTCAAAGGATTATGGTTGGCTTATTAAATTGTATATGCAATTTGAGTTTGTTTTTAGCTTTCATTATGAACTCATTCTCAAATAGTCTCATTGCCTTGAGGACCTATTGATGGTTTTTTAGGTTTGTTTATTATAATATATAACTTGATTCATAAAAAACCAGTATTATGATAATGATAATCATTTTGCTTTTTTTACAACATGAACAACAACATGAAAGCTTGTGATAATATTTTCGCTCTCCCAAATAATTATGCCTGGGTCATTTATTCATTGGAAGAAATTGACATACAGCACTGTGACAATTTAATTAAGGCTTTTGATAGGCTATGTGTTTACGTTAACTTCAAGAATCGAAACACATGATTCTGGATTAATTAAATTGTATTTGTTATTGTCTTTTCTTGAATCTAGAAAGAGCTTCAAACAAATTTTACTAGTCTTAGAATAGATATATAATTATTTTTTACGCCACACTACTCTATTTTGACGAACTTCCCATGCAAGGATTTAGTCCAGAAAACAGCTGTTTGTCGCCAGCAGCTTAATCAAATGGGGTTTCATACAGTACTACTGTACTGTAATGAGTTTTGCCGGACACCAATCAGCTGATTATACTGTATTTGGGTGGCAATGAGTGGTTACTATCGTACGTCACTCGTCCAAAATGTGTTGGCCGGACTCGTATAAAAAAAACCACTACTCGACTTCGTCTCGCACGGGATTCAGGACTAGTAACGTAATATACTATTTTACCACACTATGATGTTTTTAACTGTTTTACATATAGATACATTAATTGGTAGCTGAAAGTTACGTTTTGCAGTCCATGCCAGCTGTCGTCGTTATTCGGGGATCGAGCAGGTTTTTACATCCCTAGGGCCGCAAAATCAGCTGCCCGCTTACTTTCTTAAAACATGAATGCATATTAAATACACAATCAGTATCCATAGCATTGCAATAGAGTTGTTTTATTGTCACCGCTGCCTAGCAACTATTTATTATTATTTTTGCTGATTCCTCAAATCATTTATCCACATGACCTTAAAGTTGTAGTTGTGTTGACTATATCAGTGTGCAGTGCATTATCATTGAGGTGAATTAGTGGTAATAGGGTATAGTGTGGTGAATAGCGTTCGTACCACGGACTGAAATGGTTTTGCAGTTTCCGATCGTTTTAAGTCCTCGACTTCGTATCGAACTTAAAAACTATCTCGAACCAGCAAAACCTCATTTTTGGCCCTAGGCACAAAATATACTATTAATTTTAGGCCTAGTAATATTTTTGAGACTGAAAATTTTACACTTATTTAAAAAGGACCAAACTCAAAAGTGGATTAAAGGGCAATTTAGAAAATATCTCAAACTTTTTGACATAACTTTAAGTACTTTCTCCCCTACAATTTAATATGGTAAAAGAATTGTTTATGTAAAAACCCTGATCCCAAAAAAGTGGTTTTCGAAGTGTTGTGTTTGTCTGTCTGTATGTGTGTATGTGTGTATGTGTGTATGTATGGTACAGAGCTACAGACCACGCCTATGGTCCGAGTCCGATTTTGATGAAATTTGGTATTTTAGGTACCTACCAATCCATGGTCTCTCCAGATGTTTTTTTTTTCATTTTGGATTTTTAAAAGTGATATTCCATAAAACCCTATAAAATGAAGGATGAATAAAATTTTCTCAGAATTGGCCCGAACGATTTTGATTAAAAATTAACATGTTATACTTTTTGACTATGACAAAAATTGTATAAACCCTCTATGCCGTAAAAATTATGGTTCAAAAGTTATTGCAACTTTTGTGATTTTCCCTTTTAAAACCTATTAATTCATGGAAAATCGGATTAAAAAAAACTACATGGCCAATTTTGATTCAAATTGAGTGCAAGTAAAAAATCCAACTCATTTAAATGAAAACTAAACAAAAAAATAGTTTGCTACTAGAGTTTTAAAGCAAAATTGTCCATTTAAATTGGGTTAAAAGTTTTATTCAAATGCTTAAATTCCCATAAATTTAAAGAAGTGTCGGGGGCACCCCTTCCCTCCCCGCATTATAAACATAACTATGGGTTAGCCCCCAGACCTTCCGGCATGGGTTAAACAACGAATTTGGGGGGGATTCTGCGACGTGAGCTTTGGGGGGGATGGGCACCCCTGGTCTGACGAACTAGAGAAGTCTTGATGATTTTATTAAAAATTAAGTGGGAACTGTAATTAAGTTTCTCATTTAATACATGGTCGCTTTCCTGTTTTAGGGCCTTGGCTGTTTGTGTTCCTTGGCTCAAACCTCAAAAAAGAGCTAAGGAACACAAACCCAATCCCCGAATAAATCCTCAAAAATCAAGCTACGCTCAACACATTATAGATGAAGAATATAGCACAGGAAATTTTGAAAATAATATTGAAATAATGGAAGTATGCAACAAAGGTTTTACTCTTGACACCCTTGAGGAATTTCATATTTATAAGGCCCTAAGACAGGAAAGCGACCATGTATTAAATGAGAAACTTAATTACAGTTCCCACTTAATTTTTAATAAAATCATCAAGACTTCTCTAGTTCGTCAGACGAGTTCAACACACACCCCCTACAGAAGGACGAGTCCATGTCCTAAGGTACAAGGGTCGTCTTATCATCGTCGCCGTCGCGCTCTGTGTTCTCCAGCCGGCTCCCGCGACGGTACAGTTAAATAAACACAGGCCTGTATTCCGTCCCCGAGAACATTTTTAAGTGTTAATATGTCCGTATGTGTTCGTGTTTGTGTTAATGTGTTTTTGACGACGTCCAAGCGACCGACTATGACAACAACAACTATGCTTTGTTGATTCTCGACATGTCCTACGTGACCATGACGCAAACGGCGTCGAAACCATGGTTGTAGCTTTTATACAACATTTTTGAGCTGTGACGAAAATACAAGGTAAATAAACCACTATTAATACTCATATATAGGTAACTAGCTGTAACCCGCGGGCTTTGCCCCGTTTAACTTCTTAATTTTCAAGATTATCTCGTTCGCATGGCTCAATCACGTCCTGGTTGAAGTTTGTTCGCTACGCTCACTCACCTTTAGGTTGGAGCTCGTTCGCTGCACTCACTTGCCTTCAGGTTAGCTCGTTCGCTACGCTAACTCGCCTCCAGGTTGAAGTTCGTTCGCTACGCTCACTCACCTTTTGGTTGCAAATTAGCTGTTGTCATAAATGTAAAAGAAATAATAGTGTTGCACCCTGTTGGTAATCCTTGTAACTTTAATGCTATTGAACATCATAGAACAGAACCAACTTGTTTAATTGAAACAGCTGTTAAGATTCAATAATTCCATTTCTCATAAGGTTAACATGGGAAACTCCAGAGCCACTGGGGCGGAGCCCGAAAGGATTTTTGAAATATGAATATGCCTATATGTTAATCGGGAATGTGAGCTATCATCATGCCAAATTTCAGCCCAATCCGACCAGTATTTTTCGTGTTCACTTGTCACAAACATACATCCATACATACATCCAAACTTTCTCATTTATAATATTAGTAGGATATTGCATTGCAGCATTCAAATCCTTCTGTAACTAATTACCCTATGCTCTATTTGCGAAAAGGTAATTTTATTAAATTTAAAGTTTTCATATGGCTACAATCCAAAATTAATTTTTGTAATAATCATCTTTCTAGAAACGCTTACGCTCCTCGGAAATCCTTTCACACAGGATGAGGGCCCACTGAAATCCTTCCACATAATGAAAAGAAAATCCATCCTAAGGGGAGCACTGGTTGAGAATGGCTGGTTTATATGATTAAAAAGTTAAAATAGTTTTGAAATGGGATAAATAACAAGAAACTTAGTACACAACATACGCCTCCTCATAAACTGGACAGAACTAACCTTAAAATTGCCTTCAGCTGATCCGTAAGGATGGTAGCACTGTATGTTTAATCTGATACCACTCCAAACTAAACATATTCCTCTTACAGATGTGCAAGACGTGAGGAATGTGATCAACTATGACTACCCTCAGAACTCAGAGGACTACGTTCATCGTATCGGCCGCACAGGCAGATCCGACCAGCTGGGCAACTCTTACGCTTTCTTCACTTCTCTGAACCAGCGGCAAGCAAAGGGCCTCATAGACGTACTGCAGGAGGCCAAACAACACGTAGACCCTCAACTGTCAGAGATGGCCGTCACAGCTAACTACGCAACTGGCAACAAGTGGAGAGGTAGGTGGAATTATTGACTTTAGTCATTTGATTTATACCGACCAAATTTTTGTAATTTTAAATTAAAATAGATTAAAGTTGAACAAGCCACTTACGGTAATTTGATAATTTGCACTTAGATAATCTGTACCCAATTCATGAATAAAACATGTCTATGTCTATGTCTATGTCTATATGGAGTGTGCTGCTGTCAAAATTAGATTTTCTTCTTTAGCTTATAATTATAATGTTTTGTTTATTGTAGAAACCCTATTATTTATCACATTCGTCTCATACAAATACTTTTCAATGAAATGGCGACCATACAAAGTAGGTATTTTAAGCCAAGTATGAATGGAGATGAGTGTAGGATGAGTGGCGCGATCTTGTAGTCTTGTTAGTGACTAAGGCCGACATATTCCTTATACACAGCTGTTAATTAATAGCCCATACAGCTAATGGCAACTAAGGGACCTAGAGTTTATAGTGGAATCTGAACCACATTTTTGCCTTGGTGTTTACGAATTGGTCTAATTATCAGGATAGTACTGCGGATAGTCGTAGTACTCACTAGTGCGGACGTTAATCCACACCAGAGAGTATCGCATCCACAGAGTTAATAACCTACTAACTAGTGCATAACTTATAAATGTATCTAAATGTTTGTCTCAACATCTTGTTGTTTAAATGTGATGTCTTGAAATCATATTTGTACTTTTAAATTGTATTGTAATTTTCTTCTAATAAGCGGTCATCATTATTTTATAGTTGTTTCATGCTATAACCAATAATTTTCTTTTCAGGTTTTAACAACCGTTCCTTCAACAGATACCCTCAGTCACACAAACAACCTTGGAGGAGAAATTTTGGAGGTAGATTTAGAGATTATTGAAAAGTTAACCAACTCCATAATGGGAGGGAAACACAATTATTGTTCCTTTAGTCAGTTGGCAGTGAAGTAAATTAATGTACATTTTTCAAAACCATAAACTGTTAAAGACATTTGCTACCATTTACGTAACGTGTTGTGATGTTGAGGGTGGATTGATTTTCTGAGTTTATTAGACTAACTTCACATTTTTTAACTATAGCTTACCAAGCATATTTGATATACTTTTTTGAGACTTTTTTAGGTCTGTGACACTAAAAGACTTGCATTTAGGCCTGGTAACTTGGTTCAAGAGACAAAACTATCGGTTGATTCCAAAACAGGTAAACATTTAAATAAAATCTTGAATCTGTGAACTATTATTGTGCGCCAAATGATTTGGCGCACAATAATAGTTCTTTTTTACTGTGATCTAATATTGAGACAATTGGTAGCGAATGTTTTAAAGATTCCTAAATTTAAGTTTCAATTATTTATATTTTGAAATTATCGTTGTTAAAAGTTAACTAAAATTGCATTTATTTCTTTGCATTTACATATTTTTACTGATATCATGGATATGCTCTAAAACAATAAACTTGTTGGTCAAATCAACTGCCAACTGTATTGTTAATTAACTGAATTTGTTTTGTTTTTGTACATTTGAGACGTACCATACGAAATACAAAAGAATTCCAATGATCCAAATTCCTGAATTTTATTAATAGTTTAAGTCTTTGTTGTAAAAACCAGTTGTTTAGTACAGAAAAAGTAATTATTCAGTTATTTTGATCGTTTATTTTAATGTGATCATTTGTATTTCCTTGTTTGAGGGTAAAATTTCATATTTCTTTGGTGATTTGTAAAGTTACCTTTTTCCATTTGTTTTACCTCTAATTAAATATATTTTACATCCAATGAACAAGATTTTATTTAACTATCTTAATTTAATTTGGATAGTTGGAATCCTGATGTATTGAATTATTTAAAAAATGATGTAAATAAAATTTTGACAAATGTGAAAAATAACTTTGTGTCTAGTAACCCTTGAAAACCATTTTATATTTTGTTTAGTTATTAGAGACACTGCATTAAATTAAGACTGAAATTATATTTTTTACTTTTTTTGCTGACCAAGATGATGGGTCATACATAACATAACAGTTGCAAGCCAGCAATAAGTCATTCCATTAGTTGGAATTGGTAAAAAGGTTTGTGTATTCGACAGAAATTAGTAATTTAGATCACCACAATCAGTCAGTGGCTCACATCAACTACAACAATTTTAATTTCAAAACTGGCAACAACTTTAAAATGGGGACGAAATGTCTAGTTGTATCAATAGTCAAAGGTACTAACTACATAAGAACATAGTACCGGGGGACCAAGCCATGGCTCGGTACAGTTTATTTTGATTGTAAAATCAATATAAAGGAAAATCACGTTTATTACCACTAATTTTGGCTTTTTTAGGCTATTTAAGTTCCAGTGGAATTTCAATATTATGATAGACATTTTCACCCGTTAACCCAACACATTAATTTATTTTAATCGTACACATTTCTTTTGTTATAAAAACATAAAACAAATGTTAAAAATAAATCAAGTAAGTTTTTATAAATCCGTTATGAATACAGCTGTCCAAATTATGTAAAATAATTAAAAGTGCATAAACATAGTTGTAAAATCTACCCTTAAATAAGTGAAACATTGAGTTTACGCCATTGCACTCAAACGGCACCAACACACTTATCACTCATCAACACTGACATGCTCTATTTTCCCCTGTATCGAATAATCTTCAGTGCAATCTTTTCTCAATAGTTACAACTGATGTTTGTCACTTTGTTTGTACTGTATTTTTAATTTGCTAGTATACTGTGGATGGCTTGTTATAAACACATGTACAAGTATTTTGTTTACTTTTTACTTGTTATTTTGTTCAACCAACACAGGTGCTTGACAGCCCATAAGGCCAATGTTAAATTTTTGAATTCATCAAATGAGTTGTGTAGCGAAATACAAATTTTCCCGAGGTAGTGGCTGTCGTCAATCACGTTTTTAAGGCAATAAGTTCCCAATTCCAGATTTTGTCAAAATCCTTTGGCTGGATTTTGAGATACATGTTACAGACAGAGACAAACAGACTTTGCTCGTATTAGAGTATAGCATTACCAAGAATTTCAAATTAACAAACCACTTAATTTGTTAACCCTCCAACTGGCAATGGGCAAAGTCTCCAGTGGCAAGGCATTTTTGGCGATTTGGCAGTCATATTTTTGAAAATTTATACACACCAAACCAACAGGGCAAACCTATTGAACTGTATACTTGAATTCTTTGTAATGAAATGAAGAATTCAAAAACAAAATAAATATTTATAACAAACTACAGTATGTATTGACATAAGGTAAAAAAAATTGGGTTTTGAAAATAAAACTTTGCTGCGTGAACCAAAAATTCTTTATGTGAAATTCAAGATATACAAAATGATAAGAATTTATATCCCTAAATGAAAATGTAAAAATATTTCAATTACTATTTTGTTGTAGAAAGTTATGACTTAAAAACAAAGAGCAAATAAAAATGTGTTCTCAAGAAACGTAGTAAAAGTACACATTTTTATAAAGACAACATTGGAGATCACATGAAGTAAGAGTTGTGTATGGAAAATGATCATTACAATAAGTATTGATGACTTTTATAAATCTTTTTATTTTTCTAGAAAAACATGTTGTTATTCAAACATGTACATTATTTTTCAAACACATAAAACCCGAATACCAACTATATAAAATAAAAGTACATGAATTTACAGGATGTCCCAGACCACCCAACCGGCTTCTATAGCTCCAATATGAACGCAAATAGAAACCTTATTGCAATTGGAACCCCCTATTTCGACCCCAAGGAATTCAGTAATGGTATATTTCGTACCTAGGGCCGAAAATGAGGTTTTGTCGGCTCAAATTCGTCGAGAACTTAGATCGATCGAGAGCTGCAAAACCATTTCAGTCCATGGTACGAACGCTATTTTCACAACACTATACCCTATTCACCACTATGATAATGCACACTGATAGTCAACGCAACTACTACTTTAAGGTTACCTATGTGAAGAAATAATTTGAGGAATCAGCAAAAAATAAATAAATAGTTGCTAGGCAACGGGGACAATAAAACAATTCTATTGCAATGCTATGGATACTGATTGTGTATTTAATATGCATTCATGCTATAAGTAAGTAAGCGGGCAGCTGATTTTGTGGCCCTAGGGATGTAAAAACCTGCTCGGTCCCCAAATAACAATGACAGCTGGCATGGCCAGCAAATTGTAACTTTCAGCCACCAATTAACGTACGGTATGTAAAACTGATAAAAACATCATAGTGTGGTGAAAAATTATTTTTTAACCCGAAAAAGCACCAAATAGGGTAGATTTTAGGGGGTGGGGGTGGTTTTTGGGAAATTTTCAAATGTAAAGCAGGGTCCAGTTATACCTGATTTTAAAGGTCTTTGAGTCCTGAGTATTTTGGTGAGAAAAGTTTAAAATTATTTCTATCCCTATTTACAGGGTGTTCAAAAACGTAAAAAAATATACCTTTGAACAACTATTCACTGCGTAGAAGTGAAATTTCAAAACACTTTAATTGCTAAATGAGCTTTCAAAAACTCTGGTTTCAGCCATTTTACCAACTTTTTACTTATGTTTTACGCATTTTCAAACTTTTTGGAGTTTCAAAAGCTATTGTCATATGGATTTCATCACATACCACGTTGTAGCCCTTAAAATTAGCTACACTTTTTGCATTTAATGTTGTTTTTTTTTGTATCTTTATTGGTTACATAGCTACAGTAGAACCTCTTTAATCCGAACTAATTGGGACCAGGGGTAGTTCGGACTATTGAATAGTTCGGATTACAGAACATATTGTTGTTTTTACATAACAATAGCTAAAACATGGCTAAAATTGATCAACATTATTTTGGGAAAAGTGAAAAAAAATGTTTTATAAAGTAAAATACAGTGTTTATTTAATACAGTAGTAAACATGGTGAATAAACAGTACTGTAAATTAAATACAGTATACAATAAAGAACTACTGTACTGTGTGTAGAGTACAGCAATGAGGGGTTCGGATTAGTGGACGTTCGGATTAGGGTGGTTCGGATTAAAGAGGTTCTACTGTATAGTGAAATTAGTGTATTTTAATGGTTAAATGGTACTCAAAGTGTTTGCTGTTATAAATAAAATTTGTAAATGTCTAGGTTTGATTAAAACTAATTATGTCTAAGAAAATAAAATAATAACCAGATTGTAAAACTTGGACGATTTAATAAAGGGGGAAAAAATGCAAATATTCTTAGTATTTTACAATGCCATAGCTCTAATAGTGCTTTGAATGAATAATTTGTTTGACTCAGTATTAATAGCCTACATACTGCTAGGCTCTTCTCAAAGTGCCTTCCATTTTGTTCCATGCAAAACTCAACTCTGTTCGTAAATGAATAAAATACTTCTTCTCCACTTAAATATGCTTTTGATATTTTACACCGCAGGTGCATTCTTCTCTCGTACACGTCCAGTAAGTTCCGTATAATTTGTTTTATCTAATCGAACGTGACTAGTTTCACGCACACGCTCATTGATTTCATGATGAAAATTATTTTATTTAGAAGGAGCATTTAAACAAATTATTCATTTAAAGCACTATTAGAGCTAAGAAATTGTAAAATAACTAAGAATATTTGCAGTTGTGTTCTTTCCTTTATTAAATCTTCCAAGTTTTACAATCTGGGTATTATTTTATTTTATTAGACATATAGTGTTAATCAAACCTAGACGTGTACATTTACAACCGCAAACCCTTTGAATACCATTTAATAGACCGTTAAAATACACTACAGTACGGTCCACGAGAGTTTACAATCAAGGGAGGAGCCTATTTACCACGTGACTTTGAAGGAGCCAATGAGGACAGTGCGGTGTTGCCAAATCTAATA